TTTAACAATAGGATAAAGAATTCTATGCTTCTCATGTTTGCACATAAGTCCAATAAAATTAGTTTTAAATGATAATGTCTAGAACTGGCCCAGAAATGCTGTGAGATAGAATGCACAAATTCTAGAAATTCACAATTGTGGGTTTCGATGACTTACTGTTGTTAAATTAGTATAAACATTAGAGACCCATTTTTTTTCTGGATGCTTACATTCTACCAATAAGTGATTTTTTGCTAAGCCTCCTACTAACAACTGTGTAATTGGAACTTGCATAGTTACCACTAGCAGCAAATATTCTGGACAACAAATTTTTCATATAAAGAGTTATACAAGCCAAGGAGGGGGTGTTGTAAGTATAGCCAAAATGAGAAAGAGCCGATTATGTAGGTATACTACTGGATATTCTTTCAGGTAAGCAAATTTCTCTTCCTGGAACTTACGCAGTATTATAGGACTGAAAACCTACCTGAGATGTGCCACATACATGAAATACTGCTCAAAAACTCATAGGAAGGGGCTGGGGAGATGGCTCAGTGGAATAAGTGCTTCCCTGGCAAGCGCAAGGGCCTGAGTTCTAATCCCTGGCTCCACAAAAACAAAACAAACAAAAACAAAAACAAAAACGCATAGGAGCGCTATCTAGGTCCCTCCCAATTTTCCATTCATCTTATTTGTTATGAATGTTCACAGTTTGTCAAGAACTTCAAGTCTATGCATTCTGAAGGTTCTTTTGCATACTTTCTAATGCATCTTAGCTTCTTATAACTATAGGATTAAATTTTAAGCCTGTGATTTTTGTGATTGCTTAAAATGTTGTTCAAGATCTCAATAAAGTGTGAAAATCTAGAGTTCCACATAGCAGATGGGAAGCCTTTTTATCTCATGTAGACATATGATCCCTCATCGCCCACCAATACAACAGTTCCATGTGTAATACAGACTTTATGCCATGCATTTGTAAAGGAATAAGCAAATAATTCATTTAGTATTTAAAAATCTTATCAAAATACTTCAAATTCCAGCTATCCATTAATTCTGTTATTTTCCACCCAGGCTGGATGAAAAGACTAATTTCATGAAGTCTGCTAACATTTCACATAGAATAAGACAAAGCACTGTCAGTAATCCTATTACAGAGTAAACTGCAGTCTACAGTTTAATATGGTATATTCCAGATACCATCATGTGTATGTATTCTTTGACATTTCAGGAAGCTGAAAATCTGTGGAGATAACTCATTTGCTTTCCCACATCAGCAGTTTCCTGTTACAAAATTACTACATTTATGGTAACATCACTGGGACAATCGAACTCTATACCATTTCTGTGCTCTTTGGCTGGACCACATATAGATGAAGCAATTTCAACTTGCTAACATTCTGTTCATATATCCATTTCTGAATTAAGGTCTCTGAAAACAAAATTATTGCACTTCCTACCCTAGTAACATACTGTAGAAATGATCCCTGAAAGTATAGCCTCTGTACTTCCTATCCTAGACGACAAAATCTAGGCTGTACCCTTGTACTGGGCAGCAGAGACTGTGAGGGGAGAATCATCACACCAGGCAGATGACTTTGCTGTGATAAAGCCAGGGGGCACAGATAACTTTTGAGATATTAGAAAAGTTATCTCACAGTATCTATTTATTCACTGCAGAGGGAAGGCTCTGAATCAGGAGACTCTCACGTTCCCTTTTGGAATATGAACTCTAAATTCCTAACTTTTACACATGTCCCGCTCAGCTCTATTATCTTACAATCAATGGTATCAGCACAAAAAGTCACTGTGTTCAGGTCAAAAACATCTCCAATCAAAAATCTAAGAAGCTAAAATACAGTCAGCCCTTCCTCTATCTGTGGTTTCTGTATTCATGAATTCAACCAACTGTGGAAGCCCAGGTATGAAAGTAACTCACTGCTGATTTTTCATTACTAACATGTTAGGGCATGTGTACTACTATGACTGGGATTGCTGCTTGAACTCATGGAAATCAGGCCAGTGGAGCCTTCAGAGAGAAGCCGGAACTAAGGAACAAGAGAAACATAGTATTTCCTCAGGAGCTTGGCAGACAGGCTACTGACAGACTAAGGGCCAGGATAACAGGTTTACAGGCTTAAAGGTAACTAAGACTCTTACAAACTACCTGTAACAGTAAAAGTGGAAGGCCCCTCACAACTCAGCAGAGGAGGCTTGCAATGGGACACTTTTCTGAGAGGTCCCACAGAACTAGTAGTTGAGACCTGACCTGGATCAAGGAGCCTTGTGCTGTTGGAGGGAGTAGAGAGAACACAAGACACTTTCCCAAGTGGGCTGCCCCACAGCCACTGGCTACTGAGGGGCTGTGTCTGCCACCCAGTGGCACTCCAACAGGAGACTAGCCCAGGGTCACTTCAGTGCCAATGTCGCAGAGTGGAATGAAGGAAGGGCTGTCCAGTCACAACACATAGCCAGCAGTTGGTTAACAGACTGTGGAGAATTTGGCTGAGAAGTAAGAGCTGGAGCCCAGACTCCAGTGTGGTGAACTGGATTCTGCTGAACTGGCCAAAAGCCAGGCTTAGCCCTAGCTGCAACTCCGGAACTCTACCAACAGTGAAAATCTCCCTCTGGAGTTCACACGTTAATGAAACGCTACAGTGAAAAAGTTTTGATAACTCTTAAAATGAGAGGATGGATCTTGGAAAAACACTTGGGGAAAGTGATTGTCATGGTTTGTGTCTAGATGTTTCCCCTAAAACTCATGTAATCATGGGTGGGGCTTTTCAGAGGTGACTAGATCTAGGACGTGTGATGCTGGGATTAAATGTATGATGCTGGGATTGAGTACGTAATGCTGGAACTAAGGATGTGTGGTTATTGATTTAGGCCAGTGATTGGTCTGCCGTAGTTGTGGGTGGGGATAATAGGAATGCGACACGGGTGTACAAGGTACCACGCAAAAGGCAGGTAACCCAGAAGAAATTAAAGTATGAGGCAGGCTGCTGCTGCTTCCTTGATACTTTGCTGTCTTCCTGCATTCTGCCCACCATGCACTGTTTCTTCGCTGCAATGTCCCTCTGCCATGCCACCCTGCCTTGGAACCAGCTAGCTGTGAACTGAAACCTCTACAAACTGAAGGTTCATTTAACCTTTCCTGCTTTTACTTATGGGTGTCAGGTAGTTTACTCAGCAACAAGAAAAGTAACTACGAGAGTGGTGGCTGTATTTGTTAGCCCTGTAACAAAGATTGAGTTTTATCTGCAGATCTCAGGCATTAGGTCTCAGGGCACTTGCTTAATAACACAGCAAAACTAATTTTGACAACAGAACAGAAGCAGAAACTAGAGGAGATGGTGATAAAATGCATC